CCATCGGGGCTCTGTGTGACACCCATCAGGACTCTGTGACACCCATCGGGGCTCTGTGACACCCATCGGGGCTCTGTGACACCCATCGGGGCTCTCTGTGACACCCATCGGGGCTGTGTGTGACACCCATCGGGGCTCTGTGTGACACCCATCAGGACTCTGTGACACCCATCGGGACTCTGTGACACCCATCGGGACTCTGTGACACCCATCGGGGCTCTGTGTGACACCCATCGGGACTGTGTGACACCCATCGGGGCTGTGTGACACCCATCGGGGCTGTGTCTGACACCCATTGGGACTCTGTGACACCCATCGGGGCTCTGTGTGACACCCATCAGCTCCACTACCCCAGCACACCCCCTCTCCGAGGAACCCTCGCTGTAGATCGCTGAATTTTAGCTTAAACCACGCTGAGAGGAGGCCCAGCTGCAGACAAAGCACAACCACCCACCCCTCCACCCTCCAGGTGCTGAAGCAGCCAAAAAGCTGCGCAACAAAAGGCAGAAGCACTGGGCAGTAAAAGCGCCTGTGGCTGCAGACCCCTCCCCTAACGCCTTTATCCAGGCAGTCTATCAGCTTTGGAAGGGGTTTGCCCACTCCCAACACGTGAAAGCTGAGCTGGTGGGTGGGTGTGACAAGGGCATGGCAGGGGATTCTGCAGCCCAGGAGTTCAGGAGGCCTTGCCAGGAGGGTCCTGCAGAGCTGGACTCGCTCCCTGGCTCAGCCCCCACGGCTGGATTCGACACAACTTGGGCAGCTCAGCAGCCTTGGATGGTCTGAAATCAATGCAGGGTTGTTGGTTCAGCTCTGGGGATTGCAGCTCTCACCTGTGCTGAGGCAAAACTGAGCCCGTCCCTCTGCAGATCCGACTGTCCAGGCACAAACACGGAAAAGCCCCGGGAATCCTGGACCAGAAGGACTGGCTGGGACAGAGGGACAGAGAGCATCCCCCTGCAGCTGTAGGAAAGCCCCCAGACCAGGTGTGGTTCAGATGCATCCCCACAGATCCTTTCCTAAAAGCCTGAAATCACCACCTTGGGATTGACCAGCAGAGATGCTGAAGGGATATTGAGTGAAGGGAAAGAGGCCACCGGGCAAAGGACACCCCGGTGGGAATGCAAATGAGGGCAGCCCTAATACCTGTTAACTGAAGGTAACCCCAATACCTGGTAACTGAAGGCAGCCCCAATACCTGTTAACTGAAGGCAGCCCCAATACCTGGTAACTGAAGGCAGCCCCAATACCTGTTAACTGAAGGTAACCCCAATACCTGGTAACTGAAGGCAGCCCCAATACCTGTTAACCCCGGCTCGTTTAACAGACGAGGGGAGCACAAAAGTGGTTTGAGACACTCCCCGTGCCTCCCTCCCGTTTATCCCCGTGTCAAATCGAGCCCTTAAAACCAGACCCAGGGGAATTTCCCCATTCAGGGAAGGCTTTCAGCTGCATTTGGCCCCTCTCATTGCAGCATTGCAGGCTGAGTCCTGCCACTGAATTACAGCGTGGAAGCAGAGCCCACTGGGACTACTTTTACCCAAAATCTGCCCTTGCAATCCCTGTTTTCACCTCTCAACTGCCCACCCATCCCCACGGGGACCTGCCCTCACTCTGGGATGCAGCTCCACCGATGCCTTTGTCTGCCTCCCCCACCTCACCCTGTCTTCCCGAATTTCCAGTGCTGCCCAGTTCCCTGCACAAACTGGGGGGGCTGCAGCAAACTCTCATCTCAGGAGCGGCCTCGTTGCCTTGGTTACCCATCACCAAGCCTGGGCCTCTGCGAGCTCTGCCCAAACCTGCCTTTTCCTTGCATTTCTCCTGCTTTTCCTACTAAAAACTCAGATTTTTTTTTTTTTTTTTTTGCTCTCAGACAGCTGGACTTAGAAGAATAAATTAGATCTAAAAATTAATCAGTTAAATGCATTAAGTACATCAAATAAATTAAATAAATAAATAAAAACCACGAGGGGAATGCCCTCGGATGTGCATTGGTGGTGAATTCTGGTACAAATCCCAGTGAGAAAGAACAAAACCAGCAGCAGAGGACACGGGGCTGTGTCAGTTTAGGCACAAAGCAGGTTTCAGAGCCAACTAAGCTCAGCCTAAGTCCTGAGGAGCTGGAGCTGTTTAACTGTCCTCCGTTTCCTAAAAATTAGCTATTTTCTCTATCCACTGTTACCCAGTTAAAAATAACATCTGATTTAATTTTTCAGCACAGTCTGGGAGAATTGAATCAGAGCCCACTAAAATGTTAACACACACTCAGAAAGGTCTCAGCATTCTTCTGTGGAGAGAGCAAGTTAGATTTGGTTAATCCCATTTTTGGAAAGAACACGCAACATTCTCAGCCCTGCAAACCAATGTGGCTCTTGGAAAAATCATCCCCATCTATGTTTATGATATTTCCAATTGTCACATCAAGTGAAAATTATTGAAGAATGTGAACTAAGTAAGATATCAGGCAGCTCTCCTGCTCCACCTGTATTGAATTGCAAAGGCCACCTCTGACTCTTTTCAGTGTTGGAGCTTAATTGGATCTTCCAGACAGAAACAATCCCCTCCTCACACGGGAGTGCCAGGAAGGAGGAAGAAAAGGGACAAGGAATTTTAATTGCACTGTAACCCTTCCAGGGGGGTTTCTTGCAAGCACCACATTGCAGGCACCCAACAGACTAGAACCAAAAGCAAAATCCACCAGGAGCCTCTCAGAGAAGACACACTCAAACAAACGTGACCTGCAGGGCCCAGAGATGGGTCCTGGGGTTTAATGTAGGGAAGTAATGTAAATGGGGTTTAATGTAGGGAAGGAATGTAAATGGGGTTTAATGTAGGGAAGGAATGTAAATTAAACCATTTGTCAGGCCTGGC